TGTTCCAATGTTTGACCACCATCAAAATCAAAGTTCCTTCAGAATTTCTAACCTAAATTTCCTATCCTGGAGCTAGAGGCCATTGCCTCTAGTCCTGTCCCCTACAGTCACAAAGAAAAGCCCATCTCCATCCTCTCTAAAATCACCCTTCAGATATTTGAAGACTATTATCAAATCCTCTTTCAATCTTCTTTTCTCCAGATTAAATAACCTGAGCTCTTTTAGCCTTGCCTCATAAGTAGGAACCTACTGAATTCAAGGCAGCTGCCCACCAATTTCAAGGGGAAAGCACAAGGCCTGGCAGCCATTTTGTTGGCAAAGCATGGTGGGTCTCCCACACCTCTGATTGGCCAAGGGACCTTGGTAGCCCTGCCAATTGGTTGTGAGAGTTGCCTGTCATACGCAGACCATTTTTCTACTCTATCCAGGTCATCCTGGATCCTAGCCCAACCCACCAGAGTTTCTGCACCTCTAGCCAACTTAGTGTCATCTGCAAATTTGCTAAGAATGCACACAATCCCACCATCCAAATCATTCATAAAGAAGTTGAACAATACTAGATCCAGGTCATGCCCTGGGGAAGCCCATTAGATACTTTCTCCCAGCAAGACATTGAGCTACTGATGACAACTCATTGAGTATAATGATCTACCTAGTTAGGGATCTACCTTATGGTACTTTCATCTAATCTGTATTTCCTTAGCTTGTTAAAATCTAGTGTTGATTCAGCTTAAAATAATATATCTGGTATTTAACATTCTACACATAGGGCACAATTGCCTGATGAAGTCAAACTGAAGAACAGAATGTGCAGGATCAGTAACCAGTCCTTTGACATCTATTGATAACAGCAGTGAACTGCAGATAAAGCATATAGCAAGTTTTTAACTCTATCAATAAGTAACACTAGAAAAAAATCTTTCATATGAAACTTTACTTCATGGGCAAGGATTGCTAAGAGGAGAAATCAGAGCTCTATACCAATTTATATTCAGGATGCAAAATTAATCATACTGAGTAAAAAGGAGCCCTACCTTGTTTTGTCTCTTTTGCCTTCTTCGAAGCCTCAGAAACTCCTTGTGCTGCCTTGAAACAAAGTTGACTGCTGCATACTCCAATAATGCAGCGAACACAAAGAGAAGGCACACAGCCATCCAGATGTCAATAGCTTTTACATAGGAGACCTAAGAGGAAAAAAACCCCAGAATGTACAGTAATGTAACGTATGTAATCACAGTCCTTAAAAACAAGGCATTTATTTACTCAGATGCAAACTTCAACAAAGTGCAAGTTCCATCTTGTCTACTTTGTTTAACAGGAATCACAGAGTCTATCATGCTATACTGTACACAGGTAACAGGCTGCAAAGTAGATGTACCATTGCAGTAAGTGATTATTTACAGATACCTAAATGACAGAGCGAGTAAAGGTACATCATGGGCAGAATTCCATTTCATTTTATGCACCCAAATTTGTAGGCGACATTTCAGGAACTTAAGCACTGTTCGCAACTCAATGACCGGAGTGGTATAGACATGTAAACATCCTTGTAGCTACTGAGCATGCATAGCAAGCTACATATTGATGGGGCAGGTACGCATATATGCATATGCTTACCTGAATGTAAGTCTTGGGTGAGGGAGGAGGAGGGGTGGAAACAGGAAGAAGGGACCTCCCTTGTTTTATCCCAATTACAAACATCCCATTAACATCATTAATGGCTGTAAATGGACCTGCATGGGCAGGGTTTGGAGGCCCAATGTACAGAGAAACCACATATTTTAAGGACTATAGGAAGGACACAAAACTTAGTCCTTCAAGGCACTGAGCTGTATAGAGAGAGACTGCAAGTTGCAGAGCTTTGTTATTTGGTGTGAACTGACAGTTACCTGTCTGCCCAGAGTATGCAATTCTAGGTGTACCATGCTGCACTGGGTTATCATCTCTTCCCCATACTCCAACTCCAATTCCAACCAAAATTATCCGGAGCACTGAGTGGCCATAAGGGAAATGTCAGGGGTAAGAAGGTACAGGAGGTAAACTGCCTATTATAAAATTAAGATCCTATGCATTTAAATTAAACATACAGCAGGTGTATTTATCTGTAAAAAGTTACAAGTTGCACCCTTGTCGGACATTATCAACAGTAGTACATATGTATAAACCTAGCCGAAGTGCTAACCGCAGCCACGTCCCGAGTCAAGGTCCTGGGGTGTCATAATAGCCTTGGCTGGGGCCACCTCTCCATGGAGGAATGTTTTGTGGTTTCCCCACACACTGGAGTACATCCATCTAACTATTTACAGATTATTACTTACAAAACAGTCAACACATGAATGAGGTTAATAGCAGAACAGGATATCAATGAACTAAAACACTCTATACAAATTGAATCAAAGACACCCCCAGTACAACTCCCCAACATAAACCTTGGGACTCCAGTGAATTTCAGCAGGAGCTCATAGGGTTAACAAGACATCACCTGTCCTTCACACTGGCAACACAATAACCATGGCTGGTGCTGCTGCTTCAGAAAGTCCTGCTCTCTGCTACAGCCTGAATGGGGAAGAGCAGCTCTCCCCTGCTCCAGCTGTCTGTGGTTTCTGCAAAGAAACACACACGGTCCCCTGTCCCCAGAAGCACCTTTCTCTTGTGCTGATAACTACAACAATCCTGGGTTTATTACTCACCCGGCCCCAGGCTGGTTCTCAGTTAACAGATCAACACCCTGCCTTCCTAGGCAAGTCTACACCTTACCACCATTTTTCCTACCCATGGGTTCCTCTGCCTCACAGAGGGTAAAAAGGCTACCAAGTCATCTTCTCCCCATCACTAAGGGCAGGTTTACTTCACAGGCCGGCTGCAGGGTGATTCTTCCCCGAGCTCTGTGGTCCTGGGGCTCCTTCCCTTCTCTAAGCCTGCCTGAGGCCCCAGGGCTGAGTTCCCTCTGCTCTTGCAAACTAAACTTTCTGCAGACTTTCCCACTCTGCCTTTGCAGGGATCCTGAGCCCCGCTGCAAATCCAGCAGCAGTTGTTACGTATGTATTTTGACAAGCCCAACAACAGCCCAGGCAATCTGGAACACAAAGGCCACAACCGTAACTGAGTTACTCTATTTTCTTTAAATATGTAACTGGGGTTGGCCATTGAATTGTTTGTTACTGTCTTTTAAGATGCAACTTGAAAGTGTGTGTGTGTGTGTGTGTGTGTGTGTGTGTGTGTGTGAGAAGTGCCTTAACCATATTAGAAATGCACAAATGCCTGGAACATGCTGCCAGAGACCTCTCATTGTGGGAAGTGAAGCCACAAGGATTAGAATTTCTACCTGAGCAAACCCTGTGCTAGCATGCTTTGGGAACTGAGGATGAAATAATACATAAACCCTTGAGTTAGTTGTCTTGTGACTTAGCCAGCACTGTCATAAATGGCATCTACTCAGCTGATGAGCTAGCTGGATTATTTTAACTGAAGATTGCTGGAGGTAAGCAACATATTTGGCAGCTACCTACTTTGGGCTCCTCTGTAGTCCCTTCCATATCTTGAATTAGAAAAAGAAAGCACTGGCAACACAAGTGCTATAATCAGGTAACACTACTGACACTTCCAAATCTAGAGTGTTGGGCATCATTTTATCTGTGTAGTCCTAGTAAACAGTGACATCGGGAAAAACTCATACAGTGTGCTGAAGCCAAACCTTGTGCCTTTTTCCAGGACATTCCTCTACACAAAACAATCTCTCATTCCCATTGTACAAGGTACCCTGTCTTTCCTGGTGCAAAAGACTTTGTGCTGAATGGTCATTTGGATAACAAATTGCTCAAGATTTCCTCCTCCACAACTGCCTCTTGATCCTGCAAGGAACTAAGTTTTCCCCAGTCAAGCTCCTTAGACACTTAAATGTGTGCCACTGGATATATCTACAACCACCTAAAACCTGACAGGACCAAGTATTCAGGCACTTAGCTCACGTTTCAGGCTATCAGAATTTGCAAACTAAGCATCCTTTCATATATTGCACAGCCCAGTCCAGTAAGGAGTGTTTGAACCAGAATAACTCCTTGCAAAACACACAGCCAGGAGGCTCTTACTCAATATCCTAGTGATTATATTTGAGATATGGAGGACTCAAGTTCAAATCCCTTTTCTGCCCTTTGGAACATGTCTCAATGAGCCCACATGTGCAGAAGCATGTGTTTCCCATGGAACAAATAGCGGGGAAACAAATAAGTGTTGCTGCTATTTGTTCCTGTGCACACCCCTGCACGTGCACTCTGGTATGTGGCAAAATGACCCGGGGGTGGGTAGGAGGGAAACTGCTGTAAATAGGAACCTGCTGGTACCAGCAGCTTTACCTGGGGTCCTGGGGGCCTCCTGGGGCAGCAGCAGCATCGAGCCAGCCACTCAGAGCTTTGTCAGCAGCCTGAGTATGGCTGTGGCTTGCCAAGCTCCATTTCTGGCAGTGCACACTGCTGCCACATGCGCCACACCGCTTTTTTTAGTGGCATTTTTTTTGACACTGGGATCTCTCAGTGTCAAAAAACTCACCATGATGCAAATTAGCAGCATGGCAAATGGGTGCACATTTGCCATGTGTGGATTGTGGTCCCTCAATTGGGTTTGAGGTGCTGCAAACCACACGTGAGTACTTGTTGGGATGCACCTTTGGAATTTGATCCTTTATCTTCCATTTCTCAGGTCACTATTGAAGATACCAGGCAACATGGTGCTCTGTAGTAAGTCTCTCTCAGTTTCTCTTCTTTAGCTCAAGCAGGTTATCACTCAGCTTCTTGGCTTTCACATGACCCATGACCACATGCTTGTTTCTATGCCTATCCAACTTGTGGCTATGGATTCCACCATGCAGCAATGCACCACAGTATTAAGGGCTGCGATACTGAGCATTGTGATATACAAGTCCTTCTGTAGATTTACCACCTACTTCCTTTCTCTTGGCCCACCCACACCAGCTCACAGCAGCCATTTTTCCTGCAAAACTGTGTAATGTAGTGGAAGAATTCTACAGGCCTTCTTATAGTTTGTTCTTTCCCCCTTTGATACTGCCCTGTTTGTTACCAGAAAGCAGTATTTCTTCATCTTCTTACCTCCTAAACCACAATCCCTGCTGCATTTTTACCTGCATCCAACATAGGATTGTTCCTTAACTTTATCCACAAATCCTATACATCCTGGGCACAAAATAAGGCACAGTGATCATCTGTAACAACCCTCTAATTTTAGTTTAATAACTAAACGATGTCACTTCAGTATTTGCAGCAGTTCCCAAAACATCATATGGAGAGATTCAGAGTTAGCATTCTCTCTTTATCTAGTGCTACTGATTTTTTTAAGATCACTGCAAAGCCTTCTTTAATACATCCCTTCCATCCTAATACATTGAATTATCTTATTTGCAAGTATTTTAAGAATTAGACATTTAGAATCTTTGCCCTATTCAACTTTATCACTTTCACAGAACAACGAAGCATTTCTGTATCTCTCTTTAAGTAAACTGTATTGGATTTTACCTTCGGCAGCACCACAGCTTTCCCTCTACCCACCGTGGGGTTGTTTTTGGTTGTTTTTTCTTAGAGAGAGAGAGAGTTAATGGCTCCCTACCAATCGCACCATAAACTATATAAATTATTCAGATCCTCTGTAAATGTTTTAAGGCCAGTTAACGAGCAAAGTTTCTTCAGAGTGAGGTTTGCCTGTACCAAGGATCAAGCATAATAAGGCTGAGGATAATGCATATAATAATGCAGTTCCTCTTCTTTCTTAGTATTCACACACTACCTATCTTTCCCT